AATTACATTTAATTAGTACCCCAAAGATAAGGATTTTTTTCGTCCATCCAAGCTGAAAATTGGCTGGTTGCTAAGGAAATTTCTTTACCCACGTTTCCATAGTAACCATGAACCAAAACATTTTTTATTTTACATACATGGTTCATAGTGCAAGGGAAATCTATGTGTGGAAAATCATCAAATTCTGAGAACCCTCATATATCACCCTTTGCATGATTTTTACACGGAGCTGTACAAGTGGGTTCTGGGGAAGGGTAATGTTGAACAAATTAAAATGTACAATTCCTAAGAATGCTTTTGAATAAATATGACACATAATGGCTTTGCTGTTTACAAAATGAAAAATTTCATTGATATAGCCTTTATATTCCTTTGTTATGATCCACTTTAATGGCTTGATCCTCTATTCTCTTATTTGAAGAAAGTTAAATCTACATTTATTTACCTTTTTGGATGCTTTTAAATTGATTGGTTTGAGCCAGAAGAATCTTAACATTTTTCCCATTTATTGATGGGTTTGAGTCAGAAGAATCTTAACATTTTTTCCCATTTATTCTTGGGCTACTTTTTTTTCAAATTTCTAAATTTTTAAATTTCTTGGTTAATAAATTTTTTTCCAAACCAGAAGTCTCTGTTGAGACTGTAGCTCTACTGGTTTATATTACAGGCACCTGAATTTTTATCAATAATAATTAAGTTGCTAAATTAGCCAAATACTGAAAAATTTGCCCCCTCTATATATAAATACACAAGGTGTGCAATGCCATTTTGACCCCCTGATCGATTCAGGCCTCAATTTAACACATAAATCGGATATGCCTACCGGTTTGCGTGTAGCATTAGGTTAAAATATGATATTTCTCAGTATACATTTCTTCCTCAAGTTTAAATCCAACCTGTGGATAATGCTCTAACACAGAAACGTTTTTTAAGGTAGAACCTATGTCGGAAAAGTCTTTGTCACAAGATTTTCAAACTTTTTATAATGATAAATTAGCACCCGCTTATCAATCAGTCAAAAGCACATGACATGTTTCCTTGTTATTAAATGTAGTGCAGGCAGTTAAACATGGAATGATAATTACATATTACGACTTCATAATTTCAGTCATTTTCAGGGGTACTTGTCATGCAAAGAAGACAAAAAATCAAAAAATTACTTCTTAAAACATCGTTGTTTTTATTGTTTATTAATTGATCAGTATCAAACAATATTTCCCAAGAATAAATTCTTTTTTATTCAATTGACATAAAAGATAAGTCCACTTTTTAATCAAAGTACTGAAAGTACTGTTAGACGGAGGCTTCATGTATGAGAGAACACAAAAGAAATATATTTGTCATATAGCTGTATATATATAGAATATTATGAGGAATAATGTGTATTTTTTTTTTTAATTCAACATTTTTTGAAATGTCCAATATTCATGAGGTTGTTAGAATATTATAATTTCATCTTTGTAATGTAAACTTCACCTTGATTAAAGTTCACTGTTATTTAGATCAAATACTTTCAATATTAAACCCTTCAACGTAAGAAACAGTAATTGACTAGGCCTGGTTGACATAAAACTTTGACGGGCTCACTTTTTATCTCAGTCTCACTTAAGGAATATATAGTGGAAAAGTGAGACTGAGATCAAAAGTGAGCTTGTTTAAGTTTTATGCTCCCAGGCCCGGTTTGATGAATGTAGGTCTAGTATGTTCTAGTCATGAGCCCACTTGCGGATTTGGAAGGGGCCCCAGGCCCCCTCCCTTTTGAGTCTAAAAAATACACAATATTTGATAAATGAATTTTTTAATTGTGGCTGTGGGCCAATCCCCTGACCTCAAACTAGTTCCCCTTTTTCAGAATTTCTGGATTCAGCACTAGGCCTCAGCCAGTCAGGTTTCCATATTTCAAAATGTCTTATTTATAGGTCACAGAGACCTACTGTTAACATAATTATGACTTGTAACAGCTACCAAAATCAAAATTTCTCGGCCTTATTGTAATAATGTTATGATATGAGCCAACATGGAAAAAGAAGCAGCCAGATATACAGATGACTTTTGATAGCTCGAACTCCGATCCCTCGAAGTTCTCAATCTCTCGAAGTGAACGTCCAGTCCCGTTTTTTTCCTCTATATACTAAGCAAATTTACTCCTGATCTCTCGAACTTCTATCTCTCAAAGTTCTCTATCTCTCGAACCAAAACCTGGGTCCCGTTACACATATTTCATTGAATTTTACTCTCTATCTCTTGAAGTTTAGATTGCGCGTGTATACACGCCGATCAAGCGTGGAATTGAGCCTGGACTTACCTGGAAAAACAGTTAACGCCTGGGGCTTGCATGGAGGTGTTAATTGGGTGTTTACATAGATGACACTACACCCGTGTGTCGTCCGTGCATTGATATTATTGGTAAATTATAAACGAATTCAGAACTTAATTATTTTAACTTGAGACCGAGATGATAATGTTTAGAAAATAAATTTATAGATGTTCGTTTCAGTAAGTTCTCACTCACTTTAAACTTTTATTAGAGTCTACATAATCCCAGTATGGCAAATATTGCACAAGAAACTCCTTTCTCAAGGACTGAATACCGATTAAGAAAAATCTGATGAACACTGGTGAATGATCCGATCAAACCGCGGAATAGCCAAACCGACAATTGCTTGTATTCAGGTTTCATGTTATCATGAAATAAGAACAAATAAATATTGAAAATTCAGGAATTCATTTTATTTATTCGAAATACGATTATTGTTGTTGATATCAAGTATATTACCTGTAAAATACGATTGAAAATGTGCAATAACTTTATTTACAAACACTTCCGGTATCTATAGTAGCAGAACATCGATGAGCGGATCGAAAAATTTCGGAATTTATTTACTTTCTATCTCTCAAACCCCTCGATCTCTCGGACTTTTCTTGCGGTCCCTTGAACTTCGAGAGATCGAGAGTCACCTGTAGTAATATAGTACAGTTTGTCTTAAACCTTTGTGATACAAAATGGGGTGACCTAGCTTGAAAGCAACACAAAATTTTTTTAAGTAATACAACTTCATTAACATGCAATAAATGTTCGTGCCAGAACACAATTTTTTGACTGGAATAAAATATTATGCTTTCTTACTTTATGTAAACAGAACAATAAAATTCATAAGACTTGATATTTCACAAGTTTTTGTTTTTGGAGAACTAGAGTATTGCTTACAATAACAAAGATATATCTTGACAAATTTGACAACCAATATTTCGGGAAGTATTAAATGTAGTATTTTATCATATGACAGATTTAACCCAAAAAATGTCTTTCTTTACTCGTATACCAGTGGAAATGGTTGTCCTTTTCAGTTTATCTGTTTAAAACAATCATTAACATGAGACATGATTACAAATTATGTAGAGAAAAAGTTATGAATATATAACTATGATTTCTGCTTTTCAGTAACTCTGTTAAAACAATCACTTTACCAATGATGTAGGGTAAACAAATTGACATGAATACCAATGATAAGAAATACATGTAATCTTGTATATAAAAAAATAAAGTTTGAGATGTGAAAGAGGTAAAACACAAGTATCAAATGCAAATAAGGATAAACGAAATGAAAATAAGACAACTTATTTCAGAACATACACATGTATAATTTTTAATTATTAATCAGGATATAATGTGAGTAATCATGTAAATCCTATGAACCAAGATTTGGGTTGTAACCAAGGGTCAAACGTAACAGATGCATATTGATCTCAATATCAGAGTTGCCGTTTGTTTCTCTCTTATGTTATGCCAGGGTACGCCAAACACTTAAACCGCTTGTAGAAAGTGTAAATTTATTTTCATGTGTTTCCTAAAATTATACATATCAAATAAACAATTCAAAACTAGACTGTAAATATTCCTACAGATAAAAATACTAGTATGCATTTGTTTATTCATCGATCCTTGTCAGATTACAAACCTCACAAGAAACCTATTGACGCAAGCGTCAAAACTCAAAAATCGGCCGCAAACCAATTTATCGGTCCTTTCAGGAAGAAATTAGAAAAGGAATGAAAAATGAGATTACAAACAGCAATCAAGCACAAAAAATTCCATTAAAACTGAAATGCTTGATCTATTATTAAAATATCTTAATATTTATCCCTGTGACATAAAACATTTGCATGCAACATTGCAGGATTTTTCCAATACATAATACAGATACATTGCATAGTCATCTGCGTCTCCACACTTATTTGATAAAGGCGAATTCTGGTGAAAGTTTTTACAATTAAATATAAAACTAAAGTTTAAACTTATCTGTAACTAGAGATAGTTTTTACTTTAATAAAACTCAGAGTCGCTCTAAAAATAGGATCCTCATTGGTTAATATCAAAGCGGAAGTTAAGTGACGTGTTAATCAGTATTAGTTCAACACCTGTGGAAGACGGACGCTCTGGTACATGCAGCATTGCTGAAGTTGTACACCGAAAGAAGGCAAAATTTTATTAAGCCTTGGTGGCGATAGATATTTGGCCTTGGTGGCGATGAATGTGGCCTTGGTGGTCAGTATATTTAAGACCTTGGTGGTCGGAAAAGCCTAGGTGGCTAAATGAACAACCGAGGGGTTTGAGTGAATATGTTAACGAATTATGGAATTTGACTGGAAATTTGTATGTTTTCATGAATGAATTTATATTCTATGAGAGTATATTATAGTTAATTTAGAAGAGAATGGTGGGTATTTTGGTTGTAGACAAGAATTCACCTGTGTCAGTGTGTACATACGGTATAGTCACGTGTTCGAATAGTCGCGAAGGCGCACGAGATTTTCATTCATGTGCGTATTTTAGGGTAATTATTTGTATTTGTTGTTTAGTAAAAAATTGTTTGTCGTGTTTGGTAATATTCTATTGCGTATCTGATAATAAGGATTTCTATTGAAATAATTACGCGACGGAGAGAGAAATGGTAGAGAATTGTTTATATAATTTAAGTTATCTCTCTTGCTTTAGAATCATGGTGTTGCCGACAGTTCTGAAGAGACGACACTCTTTAAAAGGCGTGAGATTGGTTCCCGTTATAAAGAGAATAAGGGCTGGACAGCCGGAATCATTGAAAGACTTTGCTAGAATTAGCAAGGATATACGAACAGATAATTTAGAGATATCTGACATTGAGGTATGAATAATTATTTGATATACACGTATGTCTGTCTGTATGTATGTATGTATGATAAATGTTGATATTCTACATATGTATATTTAGAATATGGAATGGACCAAATAAAATTATTTGGAATTGGATTAAGTTTTGAAACCCTATATATAATGCATAGTGGGGTTATGGTAGTATTTATTATGTTCCCCAAACGAAGTTGGGGAACATATTGTTTTTACTCTGTTTCTTATTATTATTATTATTTTTCTTCTTCTTCTTCCTGGGTACTTTTTTGTCCGGGAATGATCTTGTAAACTGTTCGTCCGAGGTAGGTAAAACCTTTTTAGGGTAAGTAGACATGTTATGCAGATTTGCGGAATCAAGGTCATTTTGCGCGCACGTGCTTGCAAGAGCGCGCACGTGCAACACTTGAAATAACCAATATAATAGATATAGTCGTTACTTTTCTATTTTTTGATAAAATGCTTTGAAACTCATAATGTAAGGATACATTAGTAGTATAGACAAGATGGCATGGTCAAAATAGCAAGATCTCACGCGCATGCACGTGCGCTTCGCTCTGATTGGCTGAAACTAAAGTCTCAATATCTTTCTTGTTTCTTGTCATAATCTTTTGAAATTTTGAACATGGTCCTACATTTTTAAGATCTACAGCATGATATATTAAAATTTTAATAAAGCATGCGCATGCGCACGTGGTGTAATCTGATTGGCTAAAACTTTAAATGGCTATATCTCCTTTGTTTTTTGACGAAATGCTTTGAAATTTAAAACATAGTCATGCATTACGATATTCTAAAATATGATATAGAAAATATTCATGAAATCACGCGCATGCACGTGTGCTGCAATCTGATTGGCTGAAACTTCAAATGGCTATAACTCTCTTGTTTTTTAACCAAACAGGATGAGATTTAGAACTTGGATAAATATAAGGGACTCCTACAAGAAGTTGTAGTCATTATGCACGTGCTTGCACGTGAAATGAGTAAATTAAAAAAAACACTCGAATGAGTGCATTTTTTAATACTTTTGGATTAAATGCTTTGATATTGTTAAAATTTTAGATAGTGTAGACAAGATAATATGGTCGTGACGCACATGAACACGCGTGCAATGCCTATTTTTTAAATATATTTTGTATTTTTCTTGGAAGACCTTGATTAAGTCTAAATTCCATAAAGTATTTCTTATTTAATAGAGATAACAGGGAATATGGCACCAAAAGGGAGTTGGGGAGCGTTTGGGGAACATCTGTAACGGTCCCCGTTACAATTAGCACTAGTTTTATTTTCTATGCAACTTATAATAAGTATCTTGTTTATATGTATGTTAATAGCTGAAAATTGAATAATTTGGAGTATGTTATTTATTCAGAAGCATGTAAGAGAATTAACTGGTGAAGAATTAGCTGAAATAATGGAGATGGCTGGAAGAGAGAATAATGTAAGGGAGGCTAGATGGGTTCTACACTCTTTGATAATATTTGCTAATGAAGTGGGACAACCAAAAGGGCAGGAGTTACAGGAGGTAAGCTATGTGAGGAATTGATAATTAATAAAAAAAAATTGTGATGGATAATATTATGATTAATTGTAGTCACCCGGTACTAGTTCACAAGATACCTTGAAAAGGAAGAGAAGCGAAGAAGAGGACAATGACGTATCCCTGGAGGAAACGAAATTGAAATTGAAATCATTGGAGAAGTCCTCTGAAAATGCAGTCTATGAACTAAAAGACAAGGTGAGGTGTCTTTGTTTGCAAGAGGATCCAAGTATGTCTTAAATTCTCCTTACCCTTGAGGATCTTGCAAAGACCGCAAGGAAGGTTTCTCATGAGGAGGCAGAAATATATGAGGAGCTGTCAAGACAGGCAACTCGTTATCAGACAAAACTAGATATCTCAAGTTTGTGTTTGTCTGTTTTGGGGGGCAAGGCTGCAGATGCGATATCAAAAGCTATTGCAAAGTGCTTGAAAGAGAAATCAGAGTCTAAGAATGAGTCAAAGAGAGTTGAGAAGAAAGAGGGTGAAAGTGGGTATAGAAGAGATGACACACCTGTAAATCCTTTGAACAATTTGTATCCATATCAGACACCGAGTATGATGTATCCTTCAGGATATTTTCCTGGTTTTCAGCAGTTTGGTGGATCTGGAGGTTATTATGTAAATCAGGGTTATAGATCTGGTAGGGCTAGTACATTCCGTCAAGGTTTTAGACCTAGGGGAGCATGTTTGTTCTGTGAGAGCACTACTCATCAGGTGAAAGATTGTGAGAAAATGAAAGCAGCAAAAGGGAAGTAAGGTGTTAAGATTGATGTCACTTGATTGAAATGTTTTCAACATAATGATTTTGTTTTAATATTTGATTATTATTATAATGAAATGTAATTGAATTTCTTTGTCTACAGTTCAAGGGACACTGATGCCCTAGTGGGTTTACCACGTGAATTGTAGGCAAAGGGATTCTTCCTTTAAGTGTACTATTGCTGGCTTGTTCTCATTTAGTTAATTGTTTTATACAGAGGAAAAGTACCAACAGTCTACAAGATGAATGTACATTTATCAAAGTTCCAGACTGGGAAATGGCCAGTGGATTTAATCCTGTAAATGTTCAAGTCAGAGATCAGCCAGCATGGGTAACACTTGAAGGGGGAGTTCCTTTGCTTGCAAATCACGTCCCTTCAGCTGAAGATGTTCTTGGTGGTGGTGTACAATTTGATATAAGACGTTTGCCATTACGTGATCCCAAGTATTTTGTATCTGGTCAACTGCATGAAAATCTCTCTTTTTGGGAGGACATTATTGACTCTAAAATGTTAAATGTTGATGTTTTGCAATGGCTTAAAAATGGTGTAAATATTGATGAATTTTTTCGACATTTTAAGGGAAATTTTAAGGGTCAACATTTTGATTCTGATATCCCACCTAGACAATATTTTCAAAATGCCAATAGCTGCAAACAACATATTGAATTTATAGCACGAGAGTTGTGTGAGAGAATTGCATCTGGTTCAATTAGATTGTTAGGTAAGGTGGGTTGTTGTCAACCTCCAAAGGTCATAATGCCCCTGACAGTTGAGCCATCAAAGCCAAGGTTATGTCATGATGAAAGATTTCTGAATCTTTGGATAAAAGATCTACCTTTTATGTTAGATACTTTGAAAGATATTCATAGCATTGTGCAGAAAAACTCACTCATGGCAACTTGTGATGAAAAGTCTGGTTATGATCATGTGAAATTGACAGAGTCATCTCGTCCATATTTTGGTATCCAGTTTGGTGGCTATTTGATGGTTTATAACACTCTTCCTTTTGGGTGGAAGGCATCACCTTTTATCTATCAGACAGTGGGTATGTGTGTTACGGCATATTTGAGGAAGCTTTCAGTTCAGAATACTTTATATATTGATGATCGTTTTGTTGTTTCAAGGGGAAGTGATAGGGATGATGATGAACTAGTTATTATGGAGGCAAGGAAACTAGTGTATGTAATGGTAGAATTATTGACGAGGTTAGGGTACACATTGTCTCTTAGTAAATGTTCATTAGACCCATCTACTTGTAAGAGATATCTTGGTTTTTTGGTTGATTCTGTGAGGCAAGCTTATATACTTCCAGAAGATAAAAAAACAAAAATTTATTCAGTTGAGAGAATCAATTCTATCAGGCAGTGAAGTTGATTTGAGGACTTTGCAAAGATTTTGTGGGAAATGCATTTCTATGTGTTTAGCAGTTCCAGGTTGTAAACTTTTTTGTAGAGAACTTAATGCTGCTATTTCTGTTTGTCAACGAAATAGTAAGAGTGCGAAAATCTCAGATTCATTGAGAGAAGAATTTGAGTATTGGAGATTTCTGGACACTTGGTCTGGTTGTTCAAAATGGAGGTCTGAGTTCCATAAAAGAATAGAGTTGTATACTGATGCATCGGGTTTTAGGTTTGGAGCATCTGTTAAGTTAGAGAATGGCTGTACTGTACTAGGTGATTACTGGGAAAATGATGATTGTAGGCCAATTCATGAAAAAGAAGCTGATGCTGTTCTTAAATCTTTGCAATCTTTAAGTGCTGTTTTACAAGATTCTAGGGTTGAAGTTTTGTCTGATAACATGGCAGTAATAGGGTCTTGGAAAAATCAAGGAGGAAAATCGAGGCCATTAAATTGTATTATAAAGAAAATTTTTGGGTTTGTTGTTGAAAATAACATTGATTTAAATTTGATCTATGTTCCTTCAGATTTGAATCTTGCTGATGCACCTTCACGTTCTTTGAACTTGGCAGATAGTATGTTAAGTGAGAAGTCTTGGTCAGTGGTTGAGTCATGTTTTGGCCCTCATTCTGTGGACTTGATGTCTTTGGATTCTAATGTTATGAGATCAGTAGATGGTAAAGCTCTGAAACATTTTACACCACGTCATATGCCTTTATCATCTGGAGTAAATGTGTTTTGTCAGAATGTTACTAGGGAGGAGAATTTATATGTGTATCCACCTTTTACTTTAATACTTCCTGTACTGAATTTCCTTGAAGAGCAGGGTGTTGTTTGCACTATTGTTGTTCCGAAGATGAATCCTCTTCCTTTATGGTGGCCAAAACTTTTATCATGTTCTATTGGTTCAGTTTGTTTGGGGTTAAAGGGAGAAAAAGGGTGTGTTAGGATACCTAGTAGGAATGGTTTTGTTTTAGATTCAGTTGGTTTAAGATGGCCCTTATTTGCATATCGAGTATCATTCATGTAATTTTGAATATGACATTCTATTTCTATATTTATTGTAGGAGAGAATTTCAGATGTACATATAGATTGTGAGGCAATTGACAGGAGACTTTTACAGTTGGATGAAATTACTATGTCATCACCTGGGTTTAAGAAGAAGAACAGTCTAATGGGAATTTTTAGTAACTTCTTAAGAAGCTTTTCCTTATCACTTGCTAAATGTACACCAAATGATGTAAGACGATTTTTGGTTTGGAAAGATTCGAAAGGGAAAACAATTGTACATGAATTAAGTTGCCCATTTTTAGGCACTAAAACTAATGTTGAATGTAATTGCCCAAAGCGCTTAGCCTCTGGAACAATAGAGTGCATGATTCAGCAGCTGATTCAAATATTTGATGAGCAGGGTTTTGGAAGATATTGGGATGTGATTTCGGGGACTGGGAATCCTGCTGCATCTCCTTTAGTTAAGGAATATTTAAAGTTAATTAGAGAAGAACAGGCTAAGGCACATGTACTTCCAAAACAAGCAAAACCAATATTTTTGTCAAAGGTTAGGGCAATATCATTGTTTGTTTAGGGATCAGGCTTGGTGAAAACTTCAGTTTTTTACTGGTGATAGAGCTAGTGATCTTTTCTTGGTTGTTGCACAGGAGGTTAAGTGTCTAACTGATGGGTCAGGGTTAGTGTTCAAACATACATTTGGTAAGACTCTAAGAGGTGATAAAAGTAAAAGCAATTCATTTGTCATTAAAAAATGTACTGATCTTGTAGTTTGTCCAGTGAAGGGTTTACTAGATTTTGTTAGGTTTGCAAAGTTGCATAATGTTGATTTATCCAAGGGATACTTGTTCAGAACAGTTGCAGAGTGTGGCAGAGTTTTGGATAAGAATGTCAGTTACTCAGTGGTGTATGAGAGGTTGAGATATTATTTGTCAACATTAGGAATTTATGAAGGGGAAACGCCTCATAGTTTTCGATCAGGGTGTGCTATTACCATGGCATTGTCAGGGTCAGTAGAGAATGTAGATCAAGTTATGAATCACGTGGGATGGTTTGGAAAGTCAAGCGCAGAGTATTATTGTAGAATGTCAACACTTGTAGATTCTGGAGTGGTTGCATCAAAGTTGGCAAAATCTGTGTATCAGGCAGATATGGTTGAGAGAGAGTATAAAGATAAGGCAGACTATTCCGGTTTAAAAAATGCATTCTACTGAGAGAAAGAAGTTGTACAAGTTAGGTGAGAAAGAAAAGTTGCATAGATTAGGATACATTTTGGAGTATGGTGAGTTATACAGAGAATTGTACTTTCAATAAAAGAATACATGTATTACTATGGGATTATCAGTAATGTTAATAAATTGTTATTATATAGAAATGTATTTAGTAATGGTTGTAATGATATTAAAATTGAGATATAAAATTTGGTATTGTTTTTGTTTTGAGTATTGGGAATGGAGATTTTGTCGTTAAATGGTTATATTGAATGGATCTCTTACTTTAATGGAAAATTGGTTAAAGGGGTAATCGTATTGCAGAGTTTTCATTCCCAAAACTTAACGAAACTGAATGCAATAGATATTAAACACTGAGGATATGGGTAGATCCTCATTGGTTAATATCAAAGCGGAAGTTAAGTGACGTGTTAATCAGTATTAGTTCAACACCTGTGGAAGGAGAGATTAGGTGGATGCACATGTATAAGAGGCAGATGGTCATTGATGCATGTATTAAAATATGATTGCGTTTGGTGGAAGGTTTTTCCCACCCTCCCACCTCAAAAAAGATGTGAAGGCTACATGTATTAAAATATGGATTGCTAAAAAGATGTGTTTAATATCAACTTGCATTTAGTACCTCTCCTAGCAGAGTTTTCATTCCCAAAACTTAACGAAACTGAATGCAATAGATATTAAACACTGAGGATATGGGTAAATTCCCAAGGTAATGAAAACAATTCCACCAATAGATGGTGCTTGTGGAATCCTCATTATTTAAGTCATGGGCAAGACAATCCCAATACCGGAGGCTGTCATACAGCCTCCGTCTAAAAACTATATGCAAATGAACTCTATTTATTTTCAGTCAATTTTCCACCCTACATTTGTAAATATTTTTCAGAAGTCTTTGTCACAATGTTTTCAATTTTTAATATGATAAAGAACATACCCAAATGATTACAAAAAGTGATTAAAATATATACCTTTCCCCTCTAACTAATGAGAGATAGGTAATTTACCGATCCGAATATTCTTGACCTTTTTGCACTTACACGGGATTTAATTATTAAATGACTGTTTGGGGTTACTTTCAGTTTAAAAATGTTTATCAAAAATTGTACATTTAATTTAAAAAGATCATATATAATAGAAAAATTGTAAATTTGTAATCAATTGTAATCAAACTCCAAGAATATGAATAAGTAACATATAATTATGAAAAGGAATGCACTTCATTTCATGATAGATATCACAAAATGTACACACAATCTACAACACGTACATCTTTGTCTGAGAGACATTTCATCAACATATTTCAACTATTTAGTTGGCAACTGAAGATTTTTAAGGATTTTTGCATTCCTTCAAAATAGTTACATGTACATACCATTTACATTATTACAGTAAGTTGTATACATTGTTATTTCATTACACAAGATGATCTTGGATTTGTTAACTTAATTAAGGTCAAAATCTATTAATTGAAAGGTGCCTACAGATTTCTCTAATTCAAGAAACATATTTCTTTAAGCATTATAACAAAAAAAAAATTGAATTAAGATTATTTCGGCATAATTTTAACATTCTTTGTGCCGCGGGCCTATTTTGGGCGTATTTTCAAATACTACGTTGAGTGCCGCGGGCCTATTTTGGGCCTACCGTTAGCTTATTTACGTCACAAGTAAAACTGATTATGACGTTACGTCATCATTCTGAGTTTGGCGCCATTTTAGCCTCTTGATACAGGAACCCATCATTTTACGCTCTACTGAAAAATTTATGTCGGAAGGATTGTTAAACGGGTATTTTATTGCAGCCCGGAGGACCGGGTTGCTCTATACATATAAGTTTAAGTGTTGGTGTATGGGGATTGGGGTGGGAGAGTTATTCAAAATTAAAGGTTTTCTAAACATTGAAAAGATTGTTAATCAGAATGTTCTTTTCCTTTATAAATTACGAGATGCATAACATATTTACTTCCATGAAGTGAATCTGTAAAAATATATATGTTTTTCACATTTAATATATATATAAAGTTCTTTATCATTTACTATCGAAATACAGACAGGTCCCTTTTTTTAGAACATCGAATTTTACTTCTCGCATAAAAACGCACTCTGCACAGTTCGTGTTTTATATTCTAAAATTGAAAATTAAATACATTTTTAAATATAGGTGATGCATGTGTTTAACTTCAATTTATATTTTATGCAGCCAACATTTACTCGAGGAATTGAAGTTTAAAATGGTATCGTTTGACATTTATCCGACTATAAGTTTTCCAAATATTCGCGATTATCGTCTCCATCAATTAGACGCATGCCTTTTCACACAAATCGAAGCGGTTTGATGATCAAGAGTCATTTCTATAGCTTACTTTATATATTTCACGGGTGACAATTGATGGTTACATCAATGTTTTCTTGTTTGTCTTTGTCATAAGAAAATTAAAACAGTACATTCTGATTTGAAATTTAACAACTGTCTGCATTTCAATCCTCATTTGAGCGATACAAGCAATCAAAATTCTATGCTGAGAAATTTGAAAAAAAAATTATTTAGTCTGTCTTCAAAACGGGAATAATTTACTATTACTCATAAAAACTAAATGTTTTGATCGTGGAAATACTAGTAATTAATGCCATATCATTTTGTATTTTCTGAAAATAATATATTTAATCTTTAATCGTCATGATATATTACAAAGTTTATTACATTAAAACCTTTTTGATGGACTATAAAAAGTTTTTAAGTTTCATCCTCGGGAGCATAACAGAGTGAAAGGGTTTACTTCATACATACCACATAATAAAAAAAAATCCACATAGAGACAAGGAACTTTACAGATAAACCCCTCAATTTTGGAATACATGTAGTCTGTGCATGACATCGCTGATTGCCAGGAAAAGACTGCTTAAATGTCCATTGAACAATATTATTATGGCTCTTTTTTCAGCAAGAAACGACTTTGAAATAGAAACCAACAGAGATTTAATTTCTTTTAAGCATGTATCATCGATTTTAATTGCCGACAGGGGAGGGGGGGGGGGGTGTTAGAATTTTTTCGCTTGCTTCTTCTGTTCAATTATATCTCACTATTAAATTAATTAATTATGGCAGGTATTTAAAATCAGAGGGCATACAAGATATTTTGTCTGTCAAAATTGGGGCAAGTACCCCTACCCGCCACCCCAGAGTGCAAATACCTCTAATATCTGGATTTCCTCCAAAAATTTTCAACGTTATATCCTTAAACCAGTAGTAATATACACATATGTAATATTTATTTTATTTTCGAGCAGCTATGCAAGCGATTTAAAAAGTGTAAGATATGTCAATTTACAAACGCCTCTTGATTTTTAGGCCGTTGAAGGGTTTATTTGCAAAGAACAAACATTTGTTTGTTTTTATAAGTTTGTTTTTTATTTGTTTGTTTGGAGTTTTTTTGTGATACAGTAATTTTCGGGTTATAGGTCGATACTTTTTTTCTCAGAACCGCTGGGGTCGCCCAATATACGAATTCGACCTTTCTAAGGCTCAAGTTTATGAAAAATGCCCCAAAATCAATAAAATTTACGTAAATTTCAGAGCAAATTTGTGCCGTAATTTTTTGATTATTTTTTACAAAAAATTAATGCCTAGGTAAACAATAAAATATTTATTCTATAGCTTTCTTACAAAATAAATTCCATTAAATATCCGTTGATGACAAAGGAAAAAACTGTGCTTCATCAAGTTAATAATTCCTCAACGTGTTATCCACTGCCATCATGCGGTAGCCATTTTGTGAAGTTAGGAAGTCGCTACCGTTTACTAAAAGTAAAACCGCAACCGTATCATTAGATTTAAAATACGGAAAATTTTTCAAGATCACATGTGTAGTGTTTTACCATTAATTAGTAGATTGATAAATTGAAATAGTATTAATTTTTTTTTATTGTGACAGTCTTATATTTATTTTAATGTAAAATGAGTGAAATAAATTGTTGCCAGTCAATTCCTAAATTTAATTACCAAATAAACCGATAGTTATTACTATATATTTTTTTATTTTATTTAATTATAATACCGGTCAAACGAACTTATTTTGAATATACCGGTACTATCATACGTATTCGGAAGTTATTAATTCATTTCTTATAAACTCTAAAGTATCGGTAAATTCCCGATGCGTTTTTTTTTTCATTCGCTGATTATTTTTTGTATAACTAATTCTTCCATCCAATAATTTCCCCCCATTCTTAACCAATAATTTAACGAATCTATTGTCTTTAGAAAACCAATCAGACAGGTGATTAAAAAAACAAAAGCGTCAATCAGAAAACATTTTACAATTGAGTATGTTTTGATAGCAGAAAATTTCAATCCGCTGAAGCGTTTAAAAGGATTTACACTGTGTACACGCAAAGGTTTTAACACCTGTGTTGGTTAAATACCCGCAGGGCATGATTAGAAAATCCACGTGCCGTTATAGGGTATTAGTGTTACACATCATTGAACAAACAAAGCCATGAAATTCATAATGACTGTCAAATTGTGGATGTACCGGTACTCTCAATTTAATTTATAAATGAACCTTACTGCGTGGTAATATTATTTCAATTCTTTACTGTTGCTTTATATATACATTCAATGGTCGTTTGCGGGTTTTAGCAAATCCCTGAAGAACAAAAATGAAAATGGCGGACATCGAAGCAATTGTCGTCCAGGGGTAAATAACTAACTGAATAAACTATATTAAGAATGTGTCCAAGTTGTTCTGAAATCAGAATTATTATTCTTTGATCCCGGATATTTCCCAAATTATAGCTTAAAATAAGAAACGTATTTACGTGTTATTTTTGCCTCTTGTTTAACAACAGTATGAAACTACGGAGGCACTGCACAGGCAAGTTGGAGAAAAATAAGTAGTAACACAATTCAAAGAAGTTTTAACTACATTTTTTAAAAAACTTTATTTAAGTGCTGTACTCATTAAAATACCTGTTTGTTTTCAT